CCTTCGTATATGTTTGTCTCAAGTTATCTCTGTCTTTGACTCTGTCATCCCATCTCCTGCTGATCTTGGAGAACCTAAAAGTACTTTTCTTGCAGTCCTGAACTGCCAGCCCCCAACCCTAGCCCACATGGGTCACTGTCTTTGTGGAGATAGCCGGGGATGAGTTGCCCAGTCTTGTCCTCTGTGCCCATGTATCTGACATGGCTCTATGGTCTGGATCTTAAATGCTCAGACTAGCAACTGCCTGAGAACCCGGCACATGGTCATAACAACAACTAGCCTTATGGAGCATTGACTCTGCTAGACACCATAGTAAGTATATTATATAATTAAGTCATTTAATTATCACAAACAAAGACATGGATTACAATAATTATCCCATTTAACAACTGGGTTAACTGAGGCACAGAGAAGTTAAGTAATTTGCCCACGGTCACCACTAGTAAATTGGCAAAGCTGGGATTCAAATCCAGGCAGTCTGAGTCCAGAGCCCACCCTCTAAAGGTCTCTGCTATGTCTCCTCTCTTCTCCAAATGCTCTTTTAATGTTAATTGGGCTGCCTGAGAGAAGGTAACTGCTCAGTGTAGTGGAACTTGGGGATTTGGCTACACTGAAAGTCAGACAGGAAGACCTTTGGGGTTCTCCAGGCCAGAAGTGATGGGAGCTGACAAGGGTGACACCTGGTATTTGGGGAGGGGAAAACATGGCTCTCACTTCTCCAACCCCAAATATCTATTTCTGTGTTGGAGCCAAGCAACTAGACAACTGACTTCTTCCTACTCTGAGAGCATGGAGGCAGGGGAAGGGCTGAAAGATCAGCCTAGGAGCCTAAGTGAGCAGGGAGTGAGAGCTATGACCTCCAGAGGCCGATAGATGGCGCTCATGGCCCAACACAGCCCAGGCAGCTAACGGAAACCAGCGGAAAACAAGCCAGTAGGTTAACCCCTTGCCTCCTGGGCTCTGGCTCCAGGAGCAGACTGGTAGGTGGCAGAGGGACCTGTCCCAGGACTGGCGGGCTCCTGGAGAGTGACCCAACTCTCTAGGCTCTGTCCAAATCACAGCCTAAGTCTGCTTCTGCTCATGTGTCACAAGGCTCTATCCATAAATCAGTCAGCCAGACCCTTCGGAACTTCCCAGAGGGCCAGGAGTCTAAGAAATGGGTAATGCAGGTTGGGAGGGTCCTGCTTCAGCCCAAGTTAATCTTTCAGGCTCTGTCTCCTGAAAGTTTATGGGTATCTATTTCTAAGCAATCCACACCATAGAGGTGTGGAGCTCTTTACTTCTACCCTCAGAGGGACTCACTCGGTAGGGAGGAATAGCATGAACTAGAGGCAGAGAAGTGCCCCAGACCCCTCTGGGGTAAGCTGTAAGGACTCACCGTGGGTTTCCCAAGACTCAATTTCTTCCTATGTTGGGACTCCCTATCTCTGGGCTCCCTGGGGCAAATGGGCTTAAGGGGACAGAAACAGTTATCTAACTCTTCCAGGAAGTTGAAATTGAGGGTGGGAATTTAGGGGATCTTGTCTGTCACTCATTTCACTCATTCCTGTCCTGTCAGAAGCAGACTTGAAGTGTGGAAGGGCTGCCATGATGAAAAACTGAAAGTGCTTGGCAAGCAATTGGCAGAGGGGGTGGGGTGGGCAGGAGGGTTGTCTAAGGGGTGGTGAGGCTCCTAGAATTCTTAAACAGCATTCCCCCTTCCACACTGATTTTTGTTCAGAGACACACAAGTACAAAGATGGACAGAGGGAGAAGAGCCTGGTGGCGGAGGGGGCGGGGGGACACGTCAGTTCGAGAAGCTCGAGACATTCTTATTTCATTCATTCCAGAGACAGAATCAGAGACTGGGAAACAGATGTACACAGAGATACAGAGATGCAGATTACAAGAGTCTAGGGACAGAGATACACTTATATGGGGAGAGAAAGGTAAAAGTATCGAGGAGAGAATCTGGCACAAACAAAACCTCAGCAAATAATAGACTTTGTGAGGTAGATGATTAATTCAGTTTCCAAAGTCTTGCGAGGGTGATAGGAGTTTCTCACCTTTGGTATCAAAGAATCACTGCTCACAGTTTCCTGAAGCTTCTGCTGCACCCATTAAGTGTTCTGTCTATTGGTAGGAGAGCAGGGGAGGCTTGGGAAGAGGGTGGCATCCTTGTTCTCTCACTTCTTCCTATCCTGGGGTTTATTGGTCTCCTTCCTTACTACCTACAGGGAGACCTTGCTTCTCCTTGAGCTCAGTCATGACTGTACTGAAGTGTGCAGGAGGGTGAGGGTGGGAGGAATCCAGAAGATAACTGACTTCAGGGGGGTTTCAGTCTAATGAAAATCTTATAGTCAGGACAAAGAAACAGACCCAGAGAGAGGACAAGGACAAAACTAGGAGTGGGACAGCTTTGAACATTGGTATTGGGTTGGGGAGGTGGAAGGGAATGGACTATTAGATGTAGCCATGTGATTGGGATGGGTTAGAGAGAGTGTCCTGGACATAATATATGAAGGGGAGGATTGGGAATGATGGGAGATTATAGGGCTGGGCAAATAGGGCGGAGGAGGGGCAGAAGTGAAGTAGTAAAGCCATGGAAACAGGAGCTGTAAGAGACGTTAGTAAGAATTTTTAGGAGATGACAGAAGTGCCTCTGTGGCTGTTCTGTATACAGTCCTTGGAGGGCTGCAAAAGAGATGTCTCCTATACCAAGGACAGCAGGAGGGCTAGAAATGGTCTTTAGCCATTGTTAATACCCTCAGGTGAGTTTGGAGGTTGGGGATGATTGAAGCTCCTTAATTATTAATCTCTTTGGGAAAAGTGTTGTGGATGAGTTTTGAAAGGGTAACGCCCTCACTTCTCAAGTCTTCTTGCTTTAGCCCTGAAGGAGAGAATAAACTACAACATCCAGCGTCGCTTAGCCCTAGTTTAGCATATTTTCCGGGGATCTGAGTATTTCCGGCGGAAGTGGCTGGGGCAAGGCCAATCTCCTTCCCTAAACAAAGTAGACTACGATTCCCACTGTCCTCCGCGCCCGGGGGCGGTGTGAGGAATCGGAAACCGAATAGGGAGCTGGACCAGGTGAGGAAGTAGGAGGCTGGGAACCTGGGGCGCCGGGGTCAGGCTGTGGGCTCTCAGGGCTCTGGGGCGGCGGCAGGTGGGAGACGTAATGCTTGTGTTTTGGAGCTCCTCGCTGTTTGCGGCTCGTCCCGGCAGGGAGCGCAGAGCCCGTGGAACCGCCCTGGAGCCCTGCGGGGACTAGGCTTTCTATGTCCGCGGAGCCTATGGGCGGACGCGGAGGTTTCTTTTTTCTTTTTCTTTTTTTCCCTTTCTTTTCTATCTTTCTTCCTTTTTTTAAAAAGAGAATTAAGCCTAATTTCCTTGTTTCACAAGTAAAGTTGGCCGAGCTGGTTGCTCACGGAGGTTTCCTATGGAGCTTTAGTCGTCTGTCCCCTGGGAACCAGGAGGGAAGGCTTAAGTGGTATTTTTGAGTCCATGCATCATCATCATCATCATCATCATCATCATTAATTATTGATTTGATGATTGTCCCTGTGGATTCCTGGAATGTCCCATAAGGCACAGGGCACTGTCCCTTCCTGGATTTAGTGTCATAAAGCCTAGGTGACCAGACTTATCACTGAATCACTCTCTGCTTCCTTTGCACTTAATGTAATATGACACAGTAATTTATAAAGTATATATGTTTCTTAAGTCTCTGGCTCTTGATGACTTGAGATAGGACTTCCAAGTTCCACTTTTGGGCTCTTACAGTATTTTGTTTGGGACATTAAAGCTCGAGTCACTGTGTATTACAGTTATCTGTTGTCTCAGTAGTTTATGAGCCTGGACTACATTTTTTTCACTTTGGATTTCTTCCTCACCAAGAGAAAGACTGTTACAGTACCTATCATGTAAAAGATTCATAAATATTGAAAAACATAAATGAGTTAACTATTGGTGGCAGGTGAAATCTCTCATTTTCATGTCATAGATAGGAGAGTTTAATGACTTTTTTTAAAAAAGATTATATTTATTTTTAGAGAGGGGAGGTGAGGAAGAGAGGAAGAGAAACATCAGTGTGTGGTTGCTTCTTGTGCACCCGCTTCTGGGGACCTGGCCAGCAACCCAGGCATTGCCCTGACTGGAAATCTAACCAGCAATCCGTTGGTTCCCAGGCATGCGTTCCACCCACGGACCCACACCAGCCAGGGCAGGAGAGTTAAATGACTTTAAGAGAACCTCCTTAGAGTTGAAACTAGGACTAGAATTTGAGTAAAATGACACCCTGTCTGTGGCTCTTGCTATCAGATCAGGCTTTGAAACTCTGAAATACTGACAATAAGGCCTTGTCACTTTGTGTGCGCCTTGCTATCTCCAGCATAGGTCAATAAAGATCAAAGGTAGGTCCAACTTAGGGTTTGAGAGATATTCCACATCTGGAGCAGCCAGTCCACTAATGTTGATGCTACATGGGGAGATGCAAAGTAAGGGCTGCCCCTGAGACATTTGAGTTTTCCACAGCTTCCTTCTCAATGTGTTTGAGCCCAGTTGGCCCTGGGTAGCCACCTGGATAGATGAATTAAAGACTTCTGAGATCAGTCTGGGGAAGGACTTCCTAAGTTTGGTCCCTAATTTTTTTTCTCTCTCTCTTTTCCTTCAGGCTAGGGTCAGAGAACAGGTTGATGGATCAAGCTGTTGTGTCAACCCTGAGTTCCTTTCTGGGTTATTCTTAACCTGGACAAGGGGTGGAAAGGGAGAAAGAACCATGGTCTTCCCCATAGGAGGTCCAGATGTGATGGAAACACGCCCAGAGACTGGCAAGCCCTGGGAAGCAACCAGACTACAAGTGGGCAGCTGAGTCTTCAGTGAATCAGGATGTGTAGAAGTGGAGAGCAGTGCATTAGGAAAGCCTGCTTGGTAGAAGGTAGTTTTAAACAGGGATGGACAGAGCTGAGCAGGTGTTTGTTGACTGCCTAATAAGAGCTAGGACCTTGGCTCTAGGAAAGGAAATTGAACAGTGACTGGCCTCTGATCTCAAAGTATGAATTCATGAAGAAGCCACTAACTGTGGTGACACAGAATGGTTTTCAGCCTTCACCAACCATCAGAAACACCTGGGGAAGCTGTTCAAAACAGAGATTCCCAGGCCCCATGGCAGACCGACTCATGAGGAGTGAGGCTGGGAAGCTATGGCAAATTCTGCAGTATGTTAAGGAGGGAGGGCTTTACCAAAGGGGTGGTTTGTGCTGCATCTTAAAGGATGAATATAATTTGGGTGTATGTAGAGTGGGAGAGTCACAGTCCTGGTTGACTCAAGTGTTTGTAGAAATGGCATGTGCAAAGTTTTGAGAGTTGGGGTAGGAAAGGCATTTTGAAAGTGTGAGTGGTATGGTCAGGCTGGAACACTGGGTTTTCAGGGGAGTGGTGAGGTTGGAAAGATTGGAAGGCATGGCCTTTACAGGTTACAAAGCTTGCCTGCGTGCTCCCTCTGCCTCCTTCCCTCTTCTTCCCTCTTCTTCACTTCTTCCCTTCCCCTCTTCCCTTCCTTCCTCCTTACACAACATCTCATTCTATCTCTTATGCCAATATTTTTAATTACAGTTGACATACAATAATATATTCATTTCAGGTGTACAACCCAGTGATGAGATATTTATATAACTTACAAAGTGATCATTCCGATAAATCTAGTACCATACATACATAGTTACTAAAATATTATTCGCCATGTTTCCTTGCTGTACTTTCCATTCCCAATTTGTACTTAATCCCTTCACCTTTTTCACCCATCTCTTCAACCTCCCTGTCTGGCAACTGTCAAAATGTTCTCTGTATCTATGAGTCTGTTTCTCTCCTGCTTATTCATTTATTTTGTTTTTTAGATTACACATTTAAGCGAAATCACCCTTACATCAATATTATTAAGTGGGTATTACTATTTGAAGTATTTGGATGAAGAAACTGGAGACTCAGGCCATGGTTACATAGCTTGTAAGAGTCTATTCTGAGCCTGATAGTCATCCCAGTCACCACTAAGAATTCTTGAATGTGGGCAAGAGGCTGGACTGGGCTGGGGAGGTTGTAGAATTAGCAGAGTGACTGATCAAACCATTCAAGGCAAGATGGTGTGCGTGATTAACAACACAGCCTTGGATCAGATAGCTTGGGTTCAAATGCCAGCTTCATGACTCACTAACTGTGACCCTCAGCAGGTTGCTTGATCTTGCTAAGCCTCAGTCTTCTCACCTGTAACATGGGAGCAGTAATACTTACCTCATGGGGTGGTTGTGAGTATCAGTGTGGTGTATCTGGCACAGAGCACTTGCTTACCACCTGGAAGCTCTTGTAATTAGCTCTCTGTAATTAGTCTCTGAGCTACGGCTTTGCACCTGCATCTCATTCTTCAGTACATTGGTTTCCAGGACACAGCTCATCCTGGCTGGGCTTGTTTTATTAAGAGTGACGTTAAAGGTGCTGAAATTTCACCACCAGGAGGTTTGGATTGGGGGATGGTTGGTTATGGGTTATTCTCACCAGGTGATGAATGAAGAGGAAGGATACTTGAACCAAAGAGAGAAGGGATCCTTTCATTATCAAGAAATGAAATGACCTCAGTCCTTCCTGGAGGTTGGGGGATGTCTGATACAGTCTCTTTTGAGCCCAGGAAATGGTAGTAGAGGTCCTGGACAGCCTGGATCCCTCCCACTCAAGGTCTGAGGGGGCCTCTGTCCATTTTTCTTCCAGGTGATGGTGACATGGCTGTGCCCCAGGCTTCCCCACTGGGGCCCTTCCATAAGCCAGAAAGTGCCCTGATGGAACCCCAGCCCTGCCCTCGAAGCTTGGCTGAGGGCTTCCTGGAGGAGGAGCTTCGGCTCAATGCTGAGCTGAGCCAGTTGCAGTTTTCTGAGCCTGTGGGCATTATCTACAATCCCGTGGAGTATGCGTGGGAGCCACATCGCAGCTACGTGACCCACTACTGCCAGAGCCCCAAGGAAGTGCTATTCCTGGGCATGAACCCTGGACCCTTTGGCATGGCCCAGACTGGGGTAAAGGGCTTGGCTGCCCCTGGTGGGTGGAGTGGGAGGCTTCAGGGTGGATGCTTGGCTGCATGTGCTGTGGAACTGTGTGAGTGCGTGGGGCTCCCATCCCCTCCCAATTCACACTGGCTCCTGTGGGTCTCAGACACTCTTCTGGCTTCACTGCCCATAGTTAACCAAGAACATTAATGGTAGTTTCATTTCCCCTGTGAGCTGTCCACTAATTGCTTCTGAGAGCCCTTCCTTCCGTCAGCCCCATCCTTACCTTACCTTGCCGCCGGATCTCTCCTCTCCCTAGAATGTGGTTGGGATCAGGAGAGTGAGCAGGACTACTGAGTCCTCAGGAGAGACTGGTTGACAGGGGTGGGTATGGAATTAATGCAGGGTATTTAGGCAACCTGGGTTCTGTTTCTGAGCTGAGGAGAGGTTCAGAACAGAGCCAGGCTCCAGGGCCTGCCTATCCTCCTGCTAGGATGAGTGACTGCCCCTCAGTAGGGGGTGCTTGGCAGGTGGGGGAAGGGAAGAGGCTTCAGGGCAGGAATCTCAATCGTTTTTATTGACCCCAACTTGGGAATGAAAGGTGATCAATGATGACCGATGGAAATGACAGCCTGAGGCTTGGGGTTGACAGGACACCCAGAGAGCAGTGGTCAGCTCTGTCCTTGTGCCTTCTCTCACCCTGGTGGCCTTTCTGTCTCAGGCCACCTGTCTGTCCTCAATACTACCCATCACAACCTGTGAGGGGCCAGATATCCCAGTGTACTCCCTGCACATGGTCCCAGAGGCTAGTGGGGATAGCGGCAAACAAACAGATTCTTCTGGACCATGGACCACAATGAAAAATTGGAGCAAGAAGGACAGGATCAAACTGCAGCCCCAGGAATCCTTGTCTCAGGCCTTTGGGTGAAGGTGGCAGGGTGTATGTGTGGGCTGTTCAGGCAGGATCCTCATGGAGGGTGAAAGGGGTCATTTGGTCCAGAGAACAATTTGTCAGTTTGAAGTCCTCGTGTCTCTCCTTCCCCACAGGTACCCTTTGGGGAAGTGAGTGTAGTCCGGGACTGGCTGGGCATCAGAGGCCCTGTGCTGAGCCCTCCCCAAGAGCACCCTAAGAGACCAGTGCTGGGACTGGAGTGCCCACAGTCAGAGGTGAGCGGTGCCCGGTTCTGGGGCTTTTTCCGGAACCTCTGTGGACAGCCCGAGGTCTTCTTCCGTCACTGTTTTGTCCACAATCTGTGTCCTCTGCTCTTCCTGGCTCCCAGTGGGCGAAACCTCACCCCTGCTGAGTTGCCTGCCAAGCAGCGAGAACAGCTTCTTGGGCCCTGTGATGCTGCTCTCTGCCGGCAGGTGCAGCTGCTGGGGGTGCGGCTGGTAGTGGGAGTGGGGCGGGTGGCGGAGCAGCGGGCACGGCGGGCTCTGGCTGGCCTGATGCCTGAGGTCCAGGTGGAGGGGCTGCTGCACCCCTCACCTCGGAGCCCACAGGCTAACAGGGGCTGGGAGGCAGTGGCCAAGGAGAGACTGAATGAGCTGGGGCTGCTGCCGCTGTTAACAAAATGAGTGCCACTGGGGCCCAGTACAGGACACATTCAAGGTCCCCCAACTCCTTCTTGGGCAAGCAGGTGACTACTACATGCCTCCTGGAGTGGAACAAGAAGGTCCTCCTCACTGCCTGGTTGCCGGGACCTGCCGTGGCGGTTTTGACGCTACTCCTGTTTGCCCTCCTGATTCCTGCTTTCTTCGTCCTCTGAGCATTGCCTTTTTGGTTGTGTGGTACTTAACTCCACAGAGAGGCAGCACCTGCAAACTGCTTACTTTACTGTTTCCTTGGAAGCCTCTATTCAGCTGAGAGTGACCTCCAAGGCCATATTTGCTGCCTTAGAGAAAAGATCCTGCCAGGATTCCCACCCATTCTCGTAGAACAGTGTTCTTCAGCTGACCCCTTTCCTCACAGGGACCAGGACAAAGCATGAGACGTGGGTATTAAGAGTGAACTTTTGGTGGAAGATTGAGGCTGGATCAGAGAGAGAAAGAATTCCATGTGGCAGAGTGGGAAGGGCTCAAAGATCTTTTGAGACTTGTGAACTTTATAACTTTGGGCAAGTTGATTAACTCTCCAGGTCTCAGGACCCTCATCTGTAACACGGGGATCCCTACCTACCTCCTGGGGTTGGTGTGGGGATTAACTCAGGAAGCACTTTAAAGTGCCTTGTGTAGGCCCGGCATATGGGTGCTCATTACACTTCTTTTTTCTTGCCTCCTCCAGGTTGGGGAGTCACTGCACTACAACGGCAGCCCTTCTACTTGAAGGCCTTGCTGAGCAGATAGGTGTGGGTGGGGTGGTGGGGGAGGAGATGCCTTGGTTTCTGCCTGTGGCCTGGGTAAGGGTCAGACTTGCCCTGCCAGAGCTGGATCAATGACTTTATGAAAAACCCAGTCTGTGATTTTTCAGTCTAAGCATTAAAAGCTCCTAAATCCTTTTGTGTTGGTGTTTTTTTCCCCCTCCTGCATGTCAGCGGTGGGAGGTGGTAGTTTACCTCTACTTGCAAAGGATTCTTTTGGGCAGCTGGGGGATGATATAAACAGACCCCCAATTGCCTTAGCAAAGCAGTAGGGTCTCTGCTAGGGGCCTGCCCAGCGGCTTGTCTGCTCCTTGGGGCACTGCAGCAGCAAGTGCCCTGATGGGTGGACGGGAGCCTGGTGTCTCCAGCGAACTCACTTCCTATATCTCTGTCGCGTGGCTGATTGGCATGTCCGTTTGGCAAGGGCCGGGAAAGGGAATCAGATGGGGGACAGAGCAGGTTTTGGGGCTCTCCCGGAACAGGTCCTCTCCAGCTTTTAAAATTAAGGTTTTTACCATAAGTGTCTGGTTCCCCCCATTTCTCCCCACCCCACATTGTATAATAAAGAATTTGGTCTTTGTCCTTGGTTTTTTTGGAGGGAGCCTCTAGATCCTTGAAATTTCCCAAGTGATAGGAATTTCTTTGCTACTCATGGTGGGTCACTCAGACCACACCTGAGTTGTGATGAAGTTTGACTCAGGATGAGGGTGATCATGCCAGAAAGACCAACCTTGTGATTAGAGGGGTGGGGCTTTGAGACCAGCCTCCAGGGAGGGGAGGGGGGCTAGAGACTGAGTTCAACCGTGTGGTCAGTGATTTTAATCAATGATGCCTGCATAATGAAACCCTGATAAAAACTCTGGACACTGAGGCTTTGGTGAGCTTCCTGGTTGGTGAACACATGGATGTTTCGAAAGAGGTATGTGTCATGATTTTGTGGGGAAAGGGCATGGAAGCTGTGTTTGAGACCTTCCCAGATCTTGCCTTATATGTCTGTTCGTTTGGCTGGCCTCGATGGGTATCCTTTATAATAAGATTGTAAGTAGAGTGCTTTACTCGGCAAATTATTGAAACAGGGCCTCATGGGGACCCCTGCATTTGTAGTCAGAACTGTAAGTGGCCTGGGGACCCCTGAACTCTCAGCTGGCATCTGAAATGAGGGCAGGCTCATTGAGTACTTTGCTCTTAAACCTGTGGAGTATGGGCTAATGCCAGGTAATTAGCATCAGAACTGTACTACAGTTTGGCACCCCCGTGTGCCTTAGATGTGTTTTCTTTCTCTGCTCTCAGCACTATAGTGGTAAGAAGTCATTGCTCCATGTTGCAGAGGACTGGATCAGGCACTGTGGAGTAACTTCACAGAGAGAGAGGCCATTGTTTGCTTATGCATTAGCCGAGGCAGTCAAGGAAAGCTCTCTGGAGGAGGTGGCATTTCAGGTGGCCTTAGAAAATTTGGGAGAGCTTAAAGAAGAGCATTGTTACGTTCAAGGTGTGGCCAGTAGATTAGCATTGACTTGGCCCAGTTGGGAGGAAAAGCTGGAGAGGAAAATGGGGGACAGCTTATGAAGGGTCTTGAATGCTAGACTAACCTTAGAGAATTTAAAGTCCAGTTGGGGAAGTGAGATGCACAGCAAACAAAACACCCAACAATAAGTGGAAACCCACAGATGGCAATGAAGGGACATGTCATATAGGTGGAGGTGAAAGGGGTCAGGAATAGAAAGGGGGTTAGTGTGTAGGGAGGAAGTCATAGGGGGATAGTAGAGTTCGGGTGAAAGCTTAGAATTGGAGTAAGAATCATGAGATGGTAGGTGTGGGGTTGTGCAGTGCATAGAAGCACTTAAATGGCAGTGACCAGGATGATGACTTGAAGATAGATGTCACAGAATCACTTCTTGGGGACTGTCTTGTCAGGAAGGCTGATTAGGATCCTGGCACAGCCTTTTTCCAAGGGCACTGTGGCTAGTCTGCTACCATAACAAAAATACCACAGATCGGGTGGCTTAAGCAACAGAAATTTATTTTCTTACAGTTCTGGAGGCTGGAAGTCCAAACTTCAGATGTCCTCAGGCTTGGTTTCTCCTAAGGCTGCTGTCTGTGGCTTGCAGATGGCCGCCTTCTTCCTGTGTCCTCCCATGGCCTGTTCTCTGTGTGCATACCTCCCTGGTAGCTCTCTTCTTATAAGGTCACTGGTCATACTGGATTAGGGCCCTCCCCCATGACCTCATTTAATTTTAACTACCTCTTTAAAGGCCCTAGCTCTAAATACAGTCACACTGGGGGTTAGGGCTTCAATGTTTGATTTTGGGGGGACACAGTTCAGTCCATAATAGGCACCTAAAGTCATGGCATTGCTTTTTCTGTCCCCTGCTAATATCGACCTCTAACAAAAGAGCATGCATACTCAGGAGTGCTTTTTCTCCAGTCTAGGGGGGTGGAGACTGGTGAGGTGGTTTAGCTAGCTGATAGGACTAAATCCACCTGATTGGCCCATACCCCCCAACTCATTCTAGAGCAGTTTCTTCAGTACAAATAACAGTGTCCTTAGGGAGGGGAAGCTCATTGTTTTCTTCAGAGCCAGAGGGAATGGAGATTTAAGCTGCTACAAAAGTATTTTAAAACCAAATTGAAGTGATTTGGGATCACCTAGAGTTTTACAGTCCGATATAGTAGGCACTAGCTGCGTGAGGCTGTTTAAATTTAAATTAATTAAAATAAGTAAAATAAAAAGTTCAAGTCCTCAGTCACTAGTCCTATTTCAAGTGCTCAATAGCCGCACATGGCTAGTGGGTACTGATTGGATGGCACAGATAGGAAACATTCCATCATCGCAGAAAGTTCTGTTGGACAGCACTGATCTAAAGATCAGAGACTTACAGTCCTTCCTGTGAATCAGTTCACCTGTGAAGGTTTAAAAAAAGGCAAGCGTCCCAGCTCTACTTAAGAGATTTTGATTTGGGAGGTCTGAAGTGCAACCTGGTATCTACTTTTCTCTTTGTACTATGGATATGTTGCCAAGAATAAGGCAGGGTTGCACTAGTGCTTTGAGGGCAAGAAGTGGGTCTCTTCCTTTCCCCAGCCTGTAACCTCACACCTGGCACAAAGGAGGTGTTCAGGACAAATGTGCAAGTAATGCACAGATCTGGTTTTGGAGATACACCCCAAGGTGCCCTTGCAATAACGTGAGTGTCCTCAGAGTTTGTTGCTTGTTCCCAGTGATGGTGATTCAAATTCTGGTTCAGAGGGGTGATAGAGGTTTAAAAATCTGCATGTATGTGCGCACACATGCACACACATATAATATGCACCTTGAGAGAAGCCAAAACTGCTTGGGGCAGGAGTGGTTCTGAGACTCAGGGATGGAGTGTGTTGCAGAAGAAAGAGACTCTTCCTGCTCATTTTTTCCCTTACTGAAACAGGATGGCTTAAAGAAAGATTGTTCTGAATTTGACCACTGTACGGACCTTCATTTTCCTTTCTCAATTCAACAAATATTTATTAATGTCCACAGAGTGCCATTCCCCATGCTAGGCACTGTAGGGAGCAACAGAGGTGAATTAGGTGGTTCTTTGCCCTTATGTTGCTCATTGTTTGGTGCTGGGACATACAGGCATATAATTATAGTATAAATCAAACAGAAAACGTGTGTGAACAAGTTCTAAACACAGTGCTCTGGGCACACTGACTGAGGAAATGATTAGCCCTCAAAGTGTAGGTATGAGGTGTGTGTGCTTGTGAGAACAGGACGGCGATTGGAGAGTTCTTTTATCACCTGCTCGATCTTGCTACTTCCATGGAGTGACTGTTCAAAAAGGGGGCCACTGTGTCAGATATCTCCAAGAATTCCTCAGCCCTAACTGCAAGGAGATAGAAAACAGGATGAGGGGAGGAACTCCAGGGCAGGAACCAAGGGTTGGACATGGCTTTAGAGGAGATAGAAGTGGGGCTTCCTCTTTGATCTCTTGTTCCATGAACCTCTGGGATGGAAAACTGCAGCAGGTTGTGTCAGGAGGTGTCCAAGTGCTGGGGCCAAAAGAGACCAGAAACTCAACCTGGGTATAGCTGTGCAGGGAAAATACATGGAATGGAGGAAGGGAGTAGGGATTGTAGCCCAGACCACACTATGTCTCGACTCTTCAAATATTCTTGTTTAGGAGGATATAGGCTAGTTGTTTTCTATTTTTTCCTAATGCCCCAAAGAAAGAAATATAATAATTTCAATTGGAGCATGAGGTTAGACACATGGATAAACTTCCCAGCTATGACCATCAGGTGATGCAGAAATAAATTGCTTCAGAGGAAGCTGAATTGCTTTCTACTACAGTAGCCTTAGTGCCAGCCTGGCCTCAGCCCAAGCTTCCCAGTCAAGGTTGAATTAATGTATTT